GTTAAAAGAGATAAGAAGAAAACATTTCCTGGAAATGCAATTGTTTTGTATGGAATTCTTTAGAACACACTCACACATCTAAAATGAAGACAGATTACGGGCAAGCTTTGCGCAATCATTATCATCACTCTTAATAATTAAAACAAGAGATCTAAACACACTCACACTGTATTGCAAGACTTAACAAAACTATAAGTGAAATCATGCAGCTTCCTAGTTTTGGGGATGAGGTGGTGGAAGGTGCTTGACAGCAAATTGGAGAAGGGGGGCGTTAATGTGGGGAAATTGTGGCTGGAGCACTAAGCACTCCTCCTTCCTCCATACTGCCTCTCCACATGAAAACACACACAATCCCAAATCTGCTTTAGTTTACTACCTGAAACTGATTATCAGGGCCAAATATGGGCAAGTTTGTGCCCCTAAACGCTGCTATACTCATTTAAAGAATACTGTTTAATGCTAACTGGTGCACCACCAATTTTCTCCTAGGAACAACCTGGTGATTGAGCATTTACCCTGATTTGTATGCAGGGAGATTAGATGGCACTGGGCTATTTAATGATCCTTCACTCATTTGTTTGCAGGGAGGTTAGATGCTGTTGCATCAAAGCAAGCAGCATCCCACACTTTCCAAGCACACCTTTCCATCACTTTCCTTATCACAAAAAGTTTGATCTTTGGGGAAAACGGGTTTGTTGCACAAGACCTTGCAGTCAACTGTAAATGTACGACCTCAGTTTACCAGAAGGTGTTTGCGGCCCACCTGAAAATAGTAAGAGGCTTTAGAAACACTCTTAGACAGCTAGAGGAGAGATTATCAATTATTACTTTGGATTCAAGTTTTTGACCCCATTCATTTCCTTAACAATAAATGAACATAAGCTCTTGGGATGGGATGGTATCTCTGCAGCCCAGAAAATGTAAGATTCTGTGGCCTTCTAAGAGCCTCCCAAGCCCCGTTCATGAACCCATAGCAGATAATTTCAAGCACTCCCATTCCAGGGAATAGTTATCCAACCCCTGTGACATTTATAAACAAGACCTTCTCCCTGTTCTCTCATCCCTCCCTTGTTTCTTTTCCTGGAATGAATGATGCAACATTTTCAGGTCCTTCCACTTATATTTCCTGAACTACTATTTGAAGGTTGTGAAAAAGTATAAACCTATTTATGGGGGCAGGGGGAGATACATGCAAAGAAGCCATTATTTTCTGTTAGATGCTTACATCTAATAAAACCATCTTTTTATGGACAGTCACCATTGTGACAGTGCCTATAATGGATATATGTGGGGTTTTCTGTCTGGGTTTAGTATCTAGAAGTTGTTTTCCTCCTTTTATATATAGTTGTGGCTTCTCCTGCATATAACTCTAAGATATGTCCCTGAAGTATCATTACATGCCACCCCAATCTCCGCAGTGGTATGAGATTCAAGGAGTCCAGGCGCTTACCCAGGGTTTGTGCTTTCTTTTGGAACTGAGGTACAGTGGAGATTGTGGTATATTCATGATATATGGCTTATTTATACATATATACAACCTAAGCCTATGATGGAGGGGCTCACAGCATTACACTCCAACAAGTTTTTGTGTCTTCCATGACAACAGTCTTAGATGCCCGCAGAAATCAGCCATGGCACTCTGTCCCTCTGCTCCAGCTTGCTGCCTTTTACAGACTGCAACCTTGCTGCCAAAAACACCAATCCTAAACTTTCCAGCTCGGCCTTTGTCTCCAAAATAACTCAGAGCCCATCCTATTGCCAAATGGCACAAACTTTGGCTTCTTAGTGCCTTTCCTGTGATCCATGACCTTCCCTTTGACTGTGGTTAATGTCTGATCTTCCAAGCAATCTTCTAAACATGGGAAGCTGAATCGAGCTGTTAAGAGCCTGAATCCCAGTTTAACTCTCCAAGCAATAATTAAATTCTAACACTTACTAAATCAAAAAATAAATAAATAGGGAAATCTGGCACTCAGAAACCCTGGCACCCAGAACTCATTAGCAATATTTATTCAAATTAACAAGTGAATGCAGAAACACAAAGCGTAGCACAGACAAAACCACAACAAGTTCAGAAAGTTCCCACTTCCTCCTGAGGTCTCCATGTGTTAATGTCAGGCTATGTCCTTTGGTCTTCAGTCATTTCAAGGATGCAGTCTGCAAGTTGGTGACTCACACTTTGCTCTGGCCAAATGCAAAGTGTTGAGAGTGTTGCAGTATACCAACCCAGCAGGTGGCAGCAAACAGGTTCCTGCAGTTCATTTTGTAGTTCCTCTTGGTCTCTGCAGCTTCAGCCAATGGGAACGGCAAACCAGGGTCCAAGTTCCCAGAAGCCACTCTGGTAGCTGTGAAAAGAGTAGGTGTGGAAAAGATCTAGGGGTCTTAATACACCACAAGCTTGACATGAGTCAACAGTGTGATGCAGTAGCAAACAACAACAGCTAATGCAACCGAAGTATAGTGTCCTGATCAAGGGATGTAATAGTACCACTCTGTTCTGTCTTGGCTAGACAACACCTGGAGTACTGTGTCCAGTTCTGGACACCACAGGATACTGACAGTGAGCAGAGAAGGGCAGTCAAGAGAATCATGGGTTTGGAAACCAAGCCTATGGGGAACGGTTCAGAGAGTTGGATATGTTGAGCCTGGAAAAGAGAAGTCTTGAGAGGTGATAAGATAGCCATCTTCAAATACCTGCTGGGCTGTCACACAGAAGATGGAGCAAGCTTGTTTTCTGCTGCCATAGAATGTAGATTTAATGGATTCAAATGATAAGAAAGGAGATTCTGACTAAACATCAGGAAGAACTCTCTAATGGTAGAAGCTGTTCAACAGTGGAATGGACTGTCATGGAAGGTGGCGGGCTCTCCTTCATTGCTGGTTTTTAAACAGAGGTTTGGTGGCCATTTGTCAGGAATTTTTTTAAACTATGATTCCTGCATTGCAGGAGGGTGGACTTGATGACCGAGTTGTCTTCACCAAGGCTTCACCAAGGGTTCCTTCCAACTCTAGAATTCTATGAGTCTATGGACTTCCTATGTACCCATCCCTTTGAAGATCTGGGTTTTAATATTTCTCTGCATGCCCGTCTAGTGGTCTGTGTTTTTACTCAGCCATCTGTTTATTTAATTAAATACTTGTTTATGTTTAACATCCAACTTTTTAAAAAGATTAATATTTACTTGTTTAGAGCCAATCCTGGGAGGTCCATAGTAAATGATGTGGAGGTATACACTGGTTTTCGCGAGGCATTGTTAAATGCTACAGAATTAAAGATAATGACTTGAATAAGAGTTTGGGTTTTCCTGTTTCAGCTTAATTGGTACTCTCAAAGAATTAATTATACACTTCAGGCAAAACCCAGCAATTTTCTTTTGTAAATCATACTTGAATGGCTTTATCATGTGGGGTAATTGCAACCGGTGGGGTAATTGCAACTGCAGATTTTAAATTGTATAGGGCTGCAATAGATATGAGAACTATAGTGTGGGAAACTGAGAGCAACTTTCTCTGAACAAATTCCAGAGTCAGGAAAGTTTGCTGCATGGTCAAGTGCACTGGAGGGTCATGGGACAGCATTTCTCATTGTTCCTAATCCCTGGGCTGCTATTACTTTAATTCATAGCAGCAGCATGGGAACCAAGCAGGGACTATGGGAAAGGCACCATACACCAAGCCTTCTACTGTAACTGCAGAATAAAGTTCATTGATAGGAGAGTTGAATTCAAAGTCTGGAATGGGCTCAGGAAAAATAACTTTCTGGTTGTTTGGAAGCTATGTGATTTTACCTTAAGACAGGGATCATCACCTGTAACCACTACCCACTTCTTTCACTAGTTCACGCTTTGCATATTTGGGGGGGGAGGAGTGTGAAATATTAAAGATTAAAGTGCATTATATTTTGGGGATTTGGCACAAATGTAGATGTTGGGCAAAAATGCATACAAAAAAATGTATTATTAGGAGTAATGTGCAAAAAAATGCTGACCGATTTTCCTGAGGACTAGAATAAAGTCTTAGAAAGGAATGTGTAATGCTGATGAGCTTTCTCAAAATGAGAAAGTAAAATTGACAAGATTTGTGCACCCTTGCTATACAGACAGTAAGCAGTCTACTATACACGGAAAGGACATTACATTACCTGAGGTGTATGAATATATATATATACACACACACACACACACACACACACACACACACAGTGGTACCTTGGGTACTTAATTCATTCCGGAGGTCCGTTCTTAACCTGAAACTGTTCTTAACCTGAAGCACTACTTTAGCTTATGGGGCCTCCTGCTGCCGCCGCACCGCCAGAGCATGATTTCTGTTCTCATCCTGAAGCAAAGTTCTTAACCGGAGGTAATATTTCTGGGTTAGTGGAGTCTGTAACCTGAAGCGTATGTAACCTGAAACATATGTAACCCACGGTACCACTATGTTGTTTGCCTAGGCATTTTGTTTTGGCTAAATAACATTACAAAAGAAAGAAGTAATAGAAAACATATCCCTTGTTTTGGTCTTTTCTTCTTGCTTTGAATGTTATTATTACCAACTTGATTAAAAATAAGAACACCAGTAATCATTTTTTTAAATGATTTTGTCTATATTTAATATTCGTATTTATTTATTAAGCATTTTTTATTGCCCTTGAGCTGAAAAGAAAGTTTACAGAAAGTGTTATAAAGATAACTAATAACTAAATGACATGACATGAAAGGAAACAAAATTGGGAGGGGAGGAAGCAAACTGAGGCACTAGTTCTTAGTCACAAGATGACACCGTTAGCCCAAAAGCAAATGGCTCTGTTCTAGTCACAGTCCTACCCTGCTGGTACAAATAACAAAGAGGGAAGAGGTGGCATTTTGACTTGCTGAACCAACAACAGCTGGTTCCTTCCAATGCCTTCTTGAGAGAGAGGAGGCAGTGCCATTTTCCCAGAAGGCTAGTAGAAAGCGTTGCACTGGTTTAACACCTAATGCAAAAGAAACCACACTGTAATCAAGAAGGCCCCAGTGTCTGCCTTGTAAATACCTCCCAGTTAGCACCAAGGCGGCCAGGTATTTACAAGGCAGACACTGGGGCCTTCTGGGGCCTCGGCACAGGTTGAGGGGAAGGCTTTATTCAACACTTCAAAGGGGAGCCGACAAAACCGCCACTGAAGTTTGTGTTCTTTGTTCACCTAATTAAAACAGACTGATAAATTCAGCCTGCTAAGTCTGCACAATTCAGGTCCTTTGTTTCCAACGGTAGCCAAACAGATACCTCTGGGAAGCTCATGAGCAGGGCATGCAGCCCTGCTTTCTTGTTCCTCCCAAATATCTGGTGTTTGGGAGAATTCAATATAAGGATATAAGAACATAAGAAGATCCCTGCTGGATTGGAACAGTGGCCCAACTAGTGCAGCATTTTGTGCTCATAGTGGCCAAGCAGGTGCCTATAGAAGCCCACAAACAGGAGATGGGTGAAACAGCAGTCTCCAGTCCTATGATTTCCAGCATTCAGAAGCATGTTGCCTCCAACAGTGGAGGTAGAATGTAGCTATGGTGACTAGCATAGCAGCAGCCTTGTCCTCCATGAAACTATCGAATTCTCTTTTCAAGCTATCCCAGTCGGTGGCCATCACTACATCTGATGGGAACGACTTCCATGGTGTAACTGGGCACTGTGTGAATAAGTTCTTCCTTTTGTCTGCCCTGGATCTTTCAGTCCTCAGCTTCAATGGGTGGCCTCAGGTTCATGCCTTATGAGAAACAGAGAAAAACTTATTTCTGTATCCACTTTGTCCACATCTCTTAAGGTTTCTCCAGCTGTTAAAGATTTCACTGATACAGAGATGAAGAACCTATTGTGCAACTACATTTCCCATGCTACGTTTTTATATATGCAGAGTGGCTGGGGTAACCCTGTCAGATGGGTGGAGTACAAATGAATTCTTCTTCTTCTTCTTCTTCTTCTTCCCTGGCCCTTGGCCATATTGGCTGGAGCTGATGGGTGTTGAAGTCTAGCAACAGCTGGTTGGGCCACCGGTTCCCCACCTCTGCACTAAAGGATAAAAAAAGGTAAAGGACCCCTGACAGTTAAGTCCAGTCACGAATGATTCTGGGGATGCTGCATTCATCTCGCTTTACTGGCTGAGGGAGCCGGCGTTTGTCTGCAGACAGTTTTTCTGGGTCATGTGGCCAGCATGACTAAGCCGCTTCTGGCAAAAGCAGAGCAGCGCACGGAAATGCTGTTTACCTTCCCGCCAGAGCGGTACCTATTTATCTACTTGCACTTTGACGTGCTTGTGAACTGCAAGGTTGGCAGGAGCTGGGACCGAGCAATGGGAGCTCAGCCCGTCACGGGGATTCAAACCGCCGGCCTTCCGATCGGCAAGCCCTAGGCTCAGTGGTTTGGACCACAGAGCCACCTGAGTTCCAGCACTAAAGGATTGTTGTTGTTGTATAGTCGTTTAGTCGTGTCCGACTCTTCGTGACCCCATGGACCAGAGCACGCCAGGCACTCCTGTCTTCCACTGCCTCCCGCAGTTTGGTCAAACTCATGCTCGTAGCTTCGAGAACACCGTCCAACCATCTCATCCTCTGTCGTCCCCTTCTCCTTGTGCCCTTCATCTTTCCCAGCATCAGGGTCTTTTCCAGGGAGTCTTCTCTTCTCATGAGGTGGCCAAAGTATTGGAGCCTCAGTTTCACGATCTGTCCTTCCAGTGAGCACTCAGGGCTGATTTCCTTCAGAATGGCTAGGTTTGATCTTCTTGCAGTCCATGGGACTCTCAAGAGTCTCCTCCAGCACCATAATTCAAAAGCATCAATTCTTCAGCAATCAGCCTTCTTTATGGTCCATGGTTTTCCCAGTAGAGATGTACAGAAGTGAGAGCTGGACCATAAAGCACTAAAGGATAGTTCTCAGCAATTACTACTTTCTTCCCTACACATATCTTAAAGACGTGAATAGAGAAAACTTAGTAAGATCAGATGTGATATTATTGGTGGCATTTGCCACACTTCTGAAAAATCATGTGCAAACAATACTCATTTCTTGTGTTTAAGAAAGAATATAATACACAGCTTAGTGATGGGCTGAGTTTGGGGGGAGGTCAGCTGCATATGGCAGGGACTGGTGGTGATGCTCTACAGAGAAACAGTGAGTGAAGCAGCTGCAGCAGCCACTGCTACTGTCATTTCTTGGAGGGGGGGAATAGGGTGGTCAAGAGTCCTATAGGGCTCATGCCTACCCCACATCAAATTGTGTGCTGGACTATTTATAATTATTATACAATCATGTGTACGCGTGAATAACTAAATAAAAAAACCCTAACAACTACAAATTCATTAAAGAAAAATGGTAGGACACTTTTAAAAAAATTCAATTAACCATGACTACGACAGCAGTCTTTTTTGCTAGTTGTTACAGAGGGAACTCAGCCCTCTTTGGTCAGTTTTAGGGGCTCCTCTAGTCTCTCTGCTTGCCCCCCAATTCTGGGCTCCATGCTTGCTGAGGTACCAAAGATCCTAACTAGGTGGGGTACCCTGGTTTCAAATCCATTGTGTACAATCTTCTCTCTCTCTCAATAAAAGTCACAAACTGTATTTTGGGTGTTTTACATTAGCATTGCCCGTTGGGAAGTTCTGTTTATATTATTTCTGTGGCTAAAACATTTGGACTAAATATGAAGGGAGAAAAGTCATGGAAGGAATTCTCCAAGAAGAGAAATGCGCTCCACACCCTTATTACAACATTATGTCTGTTGAGCCAAATATTTTCCTTTGACAAATGGCCTGATAATAGAACCTAATTAGGAAAAGGTGTGAAAGACCTGATGCAGCCAGGCTGCTCGAGGAAAGAAATTCTGGCAAGCAGACAGGCAGGAAGAAAGGAATGGAAGAAAATGGAAACAAGGAAGAAAAACAAAGAAACAGAATGGCTTTAATTTTGTCTACAAGTAGATGAGAAGAATATGGAATGTGTACCAGCTGAATAGACAACAGGACAGAAGTATCACCCTCACGTATACACATGCGTACACCCCAAGTAAGAACAGCGAGAAATTTCCTAAGAGGTCATAAGATCAGTATGAAGGACCAGGGTCCTATTCTGTTGATGTCTTGAGGCCACAGACTGTTAAGTGACCAAAGGCAAGAGAATGTCTTAAACTTTAGGGGCTGAACTAGTCTTTACATCTAGCTTGCAGATTTTTTTAAAATTACAAATTACATCAGCTGTATGTTTGTGACAATTAATGGAATCAAGGTAGACTTGAAGAAGGGATCCAACCCTATTTTCCCCAGCAGCAGTCATGAGGAAGATCTCTCCTCTGAACATGCTATTTGCATTGTGGGTGGAGAATCTGCCCCTGGCAGCTGTGAGGGATTCCTTCCCCCCACAGCAAATACCAGCTTTCCTCCATATAGGAAGAAAGTGTTACCTTCCCCCTCCACACCTGCTCTGATCCCATTGGGCTGCAATCCTAAACACACTTACTACAGACTAAGGACCATCAGACATGGTGGAACCTATTTCTCAGTAAACATGATTAGGATTGAATTGTATCTTTAGGACTGCAGCGCTAGGCCCACTGTAATTTAGGGTTGGACTGATAGAAAAGGGCTCCTGCACTTTTGATGTTTGTGTAGCAGAAGGAATTTCCCTCTGCTACACAACTATTAAAGGAACGGAGCCTTTTACATCTGGCTACCCTAATAAGATCCGACTGCACATGTATCTTCATTGCCCTAAATTACAGCACGAACAATGATGGCCCCAACCATTTAAATTCTTCCTGCACATTTGTAAGTGTCTTCTCCCACTCTTGAATTATTCTGGTGTTTATTAGGGTTTCTTTCTTAAAATGTGGGTTAATATAACACAATCTCTACTATGAAACACTTTAGGTAAGTTGGAAAAAGTTGGAAAGACCCTGCTGCTACTTTCAATTTTCTTTGATTATGTGAGCAGACTAGTTATGTCATGGAGTAACTAAGGTTACGGAGTAACTTAAATGAAGTTATAAACACATGTCTTCTGTCTCCACACAAAGAGGACTGAAAATTCTGTTTTGTTTAATTGATATAGTTTAGACTTCATTTACCTACTGAGTCTGCAAATTATCTGCTAATAGAAGATAAGGTAAAAGCAGGAGCCTCTTTGTTCAAGGTTTATAGCTTAAAGCAAAAATGATGTTTGGTCTACCATTAAGAACAGAATTCAAGAGTGTGTCCTTGAAGCGAAACAACTTTCCACAAATGATATCCGCTCGTATATCCAAAATTTCCCTCCTTTGGCTGACTGGGAAAATATTACAGAACAGGGGTGAATATAGGTCTGTGCCAAATGTCTGATGATTTAAGAGGGGCAAAAGCAGTCTTCTCCAAATTTATTTAAATGTACTGTTTTCCATTTTTGTTCATGGCTGACTGCAACCTTGCTGCTTCAACACTTCTTTAATGCTTTTCATAAATATTTCTTTCTGCAGTGATCCAGCCAATCAAGACCCACATAGTGAGCATGATTATATCAGGACGCTACAAAGCCAATTAGATTTTACTGAATCATGACATCAACAGGAGCAAACATAATCAAGTCTGGGTGAGGACACTGAAGGAAGTCACTCTGAATAGGCTTTCTTTGCCCTTAGCCAGAGCAGCAGTATCGTGCAATATAATGAGTTGGAATGGTGGATAGTTTTGTTATCACTCCAGTGACGAGCACTGAGTAGGACAATGCCAGACACAGTAGGAGTCTGATAGGTTAAAAGATGCATAATACGGTACCTCTGCTTTTATTTAGAATGGGAGGGAATCATATGAAACTGTCTTCCATATGTTTGGACATTCACACAGAGGGCCTAATTCATACCAGAGATTGTTTGCATGATGGAGAGAAGAGGTCCTCAATGTGCGTGATGAAATTCTGTCTAAGAAGATCACAAAAATTATCTTGCTGGATCAAAGTCGAATGGTCCGGAGGGTGGCAACATGAGAATGGGCCTTCTCTGCAGTGGCTCCCCATCTGTGGAATGCTCTCCCCAGGGAAGTTTGCCTGGCGCCTTCATTATACACCTTTAGGTGTCAGGCAAAAATGTTCCTTTTTAA